AGATTTCTGATTCTCTATCGAATGATGGCATTCTTTGGAAATTTGTTACTTATTAACAAAATTTACGAGCAGCTGCTCGGCTGTCTCAATTGTCGGTGAGGCGTGGGCCGAGTAGGCGAGTGAAACTCAATTTCCGAACAAATACTTTATTCAAAACCAAGAGGGAGGAGGGCCTGAGACTCAAAAACAGTAGCCTTCGCTCAGGCATCAAATATTACGCTTGCCGCAGAGCTCTCGACATTACATGCTTTAAAATTCCAATTAAATAAATACTATCCGTGGAACTAGGGGCGTTGGGCGCGTAGGTACTTATCTGTGAACCGTCTGATCGGGGTCAAGTGGCTTTACTCTCTCTACAACTATTTGTCTGCTGCAACCATATACAATTTGTTCCACCAGGCTCAAGCTCCAGTGGGCGCGATCTGTGGCCGCGACCGAGCGTGGACGTAATCCGAGGATAGTGAGTAGGAAGCCCCAGGAGTGAAGTGATTAAAACAATCCTTGACGTGATCCAACGAGCAGTGCAAATAGTATACGGGAAGTCAAATTAAAAAGGAAAAAAAGAAGAAGGCCTTAAAGAGAATAAACGAAAAATTACTACGGGTCGACAGCGCGAAATAGTAAGTTGGTATGGCTTACCGTCGATGTAAGGTGGCCTTATAGGTTGAGCGTTATCCTTGAAAACCTCTCTCCGCTAAATCCGACCAAGTCGGGGGTACAAACGACCACGTGTTTACCCACTTATTCCGGAGATCAGGGTTATCAGTATCCCTTTAAATCCGCAATATGCGTGAGCTTTAAGCGACTCCTTACAAAAACAGCCTGGACAAGGGAAAACTTACAGGAAGCACGCTGCTTACCGGCGGGAAAAAGAACACCAGAACCGCCAAAAAAAAGAAAAGGGACCAGAGAACGATCGCCGCTACCACCATTACAACGCTATCCCACAGACAACAGCTAGCAATTCGCTAGTCAATGCTTTAATTTCGCCAGGGAAATATAACGTTATTCGCAACCAATTGAGTTATTGGAGGTCTGTGACCACCACCCGTTCCGTGCATAGGGTACGCAGTACTATGCATCAGTTGTTTTCGTTTACTTAAAAAAAAAAATAAATTTCCAAACGAGCACCGAAACGAAGGAAATGCGGCTTTTAAACGGAGTTTTAGAAACGGGGAGAGTTTACAATCCTCGGCGCGCCCACCGTCCGTTACTAGTTGGTCGTAATTCGAGCCATTTCAGGTATTAGCAGCGCTACAAAAATTATTTATGCTACACACATACAAGGCAAGATATCATATCCTATATTTTAACAAACCAAGCAACCTTCAGGTACCACGATAAAAATTGTTATTATCTGCTCAAGGCTTGTAGCAATTAAAGATTCATTTTAGATTGGGCCGGAACCTATCAAAATGATGCACTTTATAACATGGAATTTGACTGAGCGTAGCGGTTGTTACAGTTTAATAAGCCCCATCGATCTATAACCTACCTCCCCCAAGGGTAAAAATGAAAAGAGAAATGGCATATGAACAAAACAAAAAGAAAATTGTAACAAATTCATTCCTCCACGCGCGCTCCACTTCGGAGGCATTTGGGAAGCCAGTGTTAAATCGGTGAAATACCACTTAAAGCGAGTAATTGGCGACGCGTCTTTAAATTTTGAAGAATTTTGCACACTTCTCTATCAAATAGAGGCAGACCACTTTATCCTATGACCCAAGATCCTAACGACTTTAACCCCTTAACCCCTGCGCACTTTCTACTTGGCGAAACAATGAACACCATACCAGACTGCGACTTCACCATATTGAAGGAGAACACTCTCTCAAGATTTCAACGCATGCAAAAACTTTCTCAACATTTTTGGTCGAGATGGTCAAAAGAATATATATCAGAACTTCAGCAGAGAGTAAAATGGCGAGAGAACAAAACGCAACTACTAAAAACTGGATCCCTAGTGATCATAGAGGAGGATGGACTTCCACCCTTGAAATGGAGACTGGGAAGAGTCATTCAACTACATCCAGGAAACGATGGAATCCTACGGACTGTTACTGTTCAAACAACTTCAGGTGTTCTGAAACGACCAGTGATAAAGTGCTGTGTTTTACCCAATCAAGACTAATTTCGTAACAGTAACATTATTTCTTTTGAAACACTGGAGTGTTTTAAGGTGGGCGACTTATGTTAGTGCAAATATGACTAAATTCATATTTTAAATCACGCGCCAAGCGCCCAGACCGACAACTGTGTTGACCGAACTTTCCCGAACGAAAACGAACAGGATAACGGGTCGCTAAGCTCCCGCCAGTGCAATAACAACAGCGATAGCTAGAGCTACGATTGTACTCATTTATTGTGAAATTCTCAAAATTTTTACTGGTCCTTCGATACCGCACAACATATATGTTTTTCTTCACTATTAGGTTTTTGTAGAAATCATTACTTAAAATTAGAATTTTGCTATTTCAATGACGATTTCTCACTATGTACATTCTAATAATTATGCTTATAATTATATTATAATATATAACTTCAAACGGTATTTAAAACTAGTGAAAACAGAAAATTTTCAAAAAATTAAAAAACCAAAAACCTTTTTTTAATTATAATAAGTCCTGTTTTGATGTTAAAGCAATTTTTTAAAATAAGCGCACTTTACTCTTGTGCGTCTAATGTAATGTAATGTGCATACTTTATAATAAAATTATAAAGTATGCACTAAATGTTTTCCACACTATATACAGGAGATAAACAAACACAATTCACACTGACTATGATTAATATTAGAAAATTTGGTGGAAACCAGGTGTTAAAAATAAAATGTCTAGGAGAGGCAGTTTCCCTAATTACGTACCTCGTTCCCCTGCTGGTACATACAATTTTACCCTACAATAACTTATATCTCCCAAACCTTAATTTAGTTACTGGCGACAATTTTTTCGGTATCACAAATTGGTCAATATGTAAACGTTGTGTGTGAATATTTTTCTAAAATAAACAAGAAATTAATAGTTTTCAAGAGCAAATGAAACAGCCATGCTATGCTTTTAAGGGTTGGGCACCATCAAGGCGATAAGTGGGGTAAAATGCGACCGAACGAAGACGCTGATAATGATCACTCAATTTCCTTTTCTCAACATCGTTTCTAGTCGCACAAAAAAAACAGAATTGAGAGCAAATTTTATTCGACTTAATTAACATAAACCATTTCTGTATTTTTATGTTACTCCTGGTTTGATATTTGGGAAACATTTCTCTATAGATCAGCAAAGTGGCGAATGACAGACACGGAAGAACTAATAATAAACGCCGGCATAATTTGAGAACATTAGGCGAAAAGTTTAGTATCGACATGTGCGTCGAATAAGTAACTATAGATTAAATTAAGAAAAACATGGACGAATGCTATCAACAGGGAAATCAACTTGTTATTGCAGAGTTAGTAGTATCTTCTATTGTAGAACAAGCTGGAAACACTGCTACGTGTAAAACCACGAATCAAAATAAAAAGGTCCCATGTTAAAAAAAAAAAGGACTTCAAGTTTATCATATCATTCCGAAAGAATGCGGTATATATCATTACCAATAGTTAGGTTACCTTAAAAAATGATAATGTTGTTCGTTTATGTAATAAAGGACAGGCAAAGAGCAAGTGCACAAACGTCTTCAAGTCAAGCGCGTTGCATATGGAGCTCATCCTGATTTTATTTATTTGTTGTGCGAATTTTAAATAATACTTTATAATACTCTAAATATTGCAACTTGACGTTTGAAGCCTCTAAAATACATTGCTTAATAAAGTGCTGTAAAATTTTGTGTGAGTACCTTTTGTTGCTATATTTACATCACTGGCAAAACAGTCTTGCTAAAATCTGATAGCACCGCTTTAGAATTTTTCAAAGAAACTTCCATAGACTTCCATATTCCGGGTTCCTCCCGCATTGGTGGTTTATAAATCAAATTTGCTTACGTTTTGTCAATCGTCCTGACTTCTTTAGAGCTTCACTGGAACTGGCTGTCATGCCATTCTACTCTGACCTGCCTCATATATTGACTGGTAGTGAGTGGTGAAGGGGGGGGGAGGCTGAATTTCCTCAAATGACTGATTCCCATATTGGTGAGTCGCCATCGAGATTGCTTGGTTTCGTACAGATTCCTATAGCTTCTCGGATTTTTCACTGGACGAAGAATTGATTGCATGCAAGAATTGTAGTTAATCGAATAAAATTCTGATTAGTTTATTTATCCTCCTCTTAAGACTCTTTGATGTTCTTTCAGCTTAGCTGATATTTTTCGTCCTGTCTGTCTAATTGTATTCTTTGCTGCAAACGGAATTTTGTCTTTGACGGATATAAGATATAGAGAGATTTTTCGATGAGTCATAAATCAGGTTTTGACGTTACATTTCTTAAGACCTTTTGATATAAGGTTCATGATATTTTGATTATAAGGAAGAAACAGTGGCAAGTGTGTAAATAACAGAGAGAAATAATGTCACACCTCAGAAATTAGTGGTGTTACAGTGAGTATTTTCTATGGTTAGACCGTGAGTTAATACTATATTATGCAACAAGTGTGCTAAACGGGGTTTAAGGCTAAAATTAAGAGATTAAATCTGCTCATAAATGAACGCAAAGGTCATTTTTTTAAAGAAAATCAATAGCCAAATAATATTTTACTTAATTAGCTCCTCACTGCACTGATTAAATGGAAAACTTTTTTTGTGAAAAACAAAATATCTATCTAAAACCAAATATCTAGTTTTTAGTTGCCAACTACTGCCCTTCAGAAAAAAAATATTTAAAAACTGTTGTGGTGCACCCAATACCTTGTTCCAGTTGTATTTGTGGTAAAGTGTATTGTCAGAAGTTAAGAAGAAGACGAGTGAGAACAGCGAAATGGGTAACTGTGGTGGAGAAAAGACGGTACCGTGATACGCTACGCGCCAATTTTGCGAGTATTATTTTGTTAATTTTTCTTGTAAAATTACCAAATGTGTAAGCGTGTAATTCAGTTTTAAAAGGAAAATAGAAAGTACGACATCAGTTGTTGTTTATTTCCGATTGGCTAGCCGAGGCAACACATAAATTGGCGCATCAACGAGGGCTCGAACTGTAGAAAATACGACCTGAGAAGGAATCGATTCAGTTTGCTGGATTCAGAATCATTATTTACGAGTTTATGGTGGTATATTGTCGTGTCTGAAAATGCCCAAGCGAAATACAAAGTGTATTAGTGTCGATAAGGATTTGGATAGAATTATTAGTCCCAGTTTGAGTTTAAGGAATTTGGTTGAGTCATTGGCCGACAGTGTGACCAAATTAACAACTGAAGTGGCTAAAAATAAGGAAATGCTAGCTACTGTTGGAGGTGAAGGAACGGATAGGAATCAAGTAGTGGCGCACAACAAGCAGATGGGGCATGAGGAGCATTTTGTCCAAGCAAAAAAAACAAGTTCTTATCTGTCGTCTTGGAAGGATCGAGGTGGGTATAATTTAGTCTTTTCACCGGACGGCCCTGTGCACCCCATATATTTTGAGAAGAAACTGCGACGTTTGATAAATGCATACATTTACAAGTAAATTTAGCAATAGATTGTTTACGTGGGTCAGCAGCAGATTGGGTGGCAACAAAAGAAGGTTATTTTAATAATTTAGATGAGTTTTTGTTGGCTTTTCGAAAACGTTATTGGGGGGTTACTGAGGAAAGGGAGTTGTTCTATGAACTCAAGTATGGTCAGTATAGAAAGGGCAGCAGAGCTGATTATGTGTTAAAATTAGCTGGAAAAGCAATGTATTTAACTGAAAAAATTAGTGAGTCTGTTTTAGTTGAATGGTTGGCACAACATGTTCCTTGCGAAATACAGAGATGAATTTTTATAACGGGAATCAAAACAGTAGACAAACTAGAGCATAGGGAAAGTAATCAGACACGTAATTATGGAAACAGAGGCGAGAACAGTAATAATAATCGGTCGACGAAGGTTATTACTAAATTTAGCTATGGTGATTTGGTATCAGATAGCGAAGGAGATGAGCCAGTGGAACATTTCTGTTCACCTGTAATCTCGGGTAAAATTTATGAAAAAAGATATGAAATTTTATTAGATACGGGTAGCCAAGTTTCTGCAGTTTCTGAAGAATTTACAAATTTATTAAAATGTCAAGGTATAAACTTTCCTATATTACCAATAAGCAATACCGTAATTTCAGTTGCTGTAGGTGCAAATAAACAAAAAGTGTCTGAACAAATATTATTGCCTATTGAAATAGGGGGTAAAGAGTTTAATATTATTTGTATTATTGTTCCAAAACTAAACAAAAATATTATATTGGGTGCTGACCGGATGATAAATGAGAAAGTTTTAATAGATTTTGCTAATTTATCCTTATTGATAGGAGATGAAGGTAATATTTCAAAAGTTAGGTTCGAACTAGAAAGTGCCAATGAAAAATCTATCACGATAAATTTTATTGATGATACGGTTAGTGCTGCTAAACGTGATCAGTATACCGTAAATGAACTAATTGAAGTGATAAAAAATGCAGATAATTTTGACGAATCTGAGAAAAATGGCTATTAGATCTACTAAGGCATTTTAAAAATATTTTTTCGGAAAGTCCCGGTAGAACTGATAAATATGAACATAAAATAGAAATGCGTGACAAGTCACCGTTTTATAAAAAGTCATATCCTATGCCATTTGCTTATCGAGAACTCGTTCGCAAAACAAATACAGGAGATGATTGACATGGACATTATAGTACAATGTCAAACTGAATATGTATCCCCTTTAACAACTGTAATTAAAAAAAATAAAAGTGTTGTGCAGGAATGTAATTTGACTATTAAATTAAGAAAGTCTGTTTTTGCGCATAGTGAAGTTGAATTTTTGGGGCATCTAGTGACTCCCACTTATATAGCTATACATCCTAATCGAATACAAGCCATTTATGATTATCCAACACCAAGAAATACAAAGGAACTTAAGAGTTTTTTGGGCTTTATCAATTTTGAGCGACGCTTTTGTCCAAATTTCGGAATTCGTTGGTCCTGGGGCGAAGTAGAAACAAAAGCTCTAGTAGCTATTAAACAGAGTTTTATGCATGCAAATGTTTTGTCACATCCTGATTTATATAACACCTTTTACTTACAAACTGATAGTTCTGGTTTTGGAATTGGGGAATGTCTTTACCAACTGGATAAAATTGATAAAAAAAATGTTTTATAGCGTTTGCTAGTAAAATTTTACGAGGCCCACAACTTAATTAAAATATTACAGGAAAAGAATCTTATGCTTTCGTGTACGCGTTGAGGCAGTGGCGTACTATAATCTTGGGAAAAGACTTAGTAATAGTAACTGATCATATGGTGTTATCATTTCTAATGACCGCTAAATTAGGCAATTCACGTTTAAGCCGATGGATGTTATATATTCAAGAGTTTGATTTTCGTATTACTTATTGTAAAGGAACAGAAAATATTATGGCAGATTGCTTATCTCGACATCCTATCGTTAATCGAAAGGTAGACAAATGTGATTCTTATAGTAAGGTTGACATTTCGATGCTAAAATTAAGAAGTGAATATACATTGTTAAAAGAACATATTAAAACTCTTAATTGTGACCAACGAAATCATAATTGGATTTTCGAAAAAATAGAAATGTTAAATAAAATTTTGGAAAATCCTGACTTGAGTAATATAAATGCCAAAGAAAAAAAGGTAATAATGTGGTACAAACTGCATGAAGGTATATTATTTCGAGAAGGTACTGTATAGTCACTTGGTTATAAACTCTGTGTTCCGGAAAATCAAGTTTTGTATTTAGTTAAACAACAACATAATGATTTGGGTCATGTGGGGTATAAGAAAACTTATGAACATATGAAGCATGAATTTTACTGGCCTAAAATATCGAAATCTGTGCGCAAAATCGTTTTAACTTGTGATTTGTGTCAGAAGTCAAAGGTATCTAAAAAGATTGTGGGAACATTTAATTCTTTAGTGTTGGATCGTCCAGGAAGGTTAACTTGTCTAGATTTAATGGGTCCTTTACACCTATGTTCTCGTGGAGGAGTAACGCAATTGCTCGTGGTAGTGGATGCATTTTCGCGATATGTCAAACTTTATGCATTAAAGCGTGCCATAGCACCAGCTATAATTAATCGGTTGGAAAAGGAGTATTTTAAGCAAATGGGAATTCCTGAACGAATCTTGAGTGATTCTGCTACTCAATTCCATTTCGGAATACGGAAATTAAGTTCTTTTTGCTGTTTGAAGGACCATATTATATTTTGAGTTCTGCAGGCCCTAATTCTTATAATATAGGAAACGAAAATGGCGACTTCATTAATAAACAAAATGTTATTAACCTTAAACCTTATCGTTCTTTGAAATAGCTACATTTTGTGCTACTATTTGTCCTGTTTTGAAAAATGATTGTATTGTTTTAGTTAAATTTAATTTCCGGTATTATGATGTTATTTGAAAGAGTATTAAATTACCCATTCTGCACTTATGTTAATAGTTTTAAGTTATAGTGTTTAAGTCATTACGTTTGAAAGTATATTTTAATAGGGGGGTAATGTGGTGCGCCCAATACCTTGTCGCAGTTGTATTTGTGGTAAAGTGTATTGTCAGAAGTTAAGAAGAAGACGAGTGAGAACGGCGAAATGGGTAACTGTGGTGGAGACAAGACGGTAGCGTGATACGCTACGCGCCAATTTTGCGAGTATTATTTTGTTAATTTTTCTTGTAAAATTACCAAATGTGTAAGTGTGCAATTCAGTTTTAAAAGGAAAATAGAAAGTACGACATCAGTTGTACTTTTTACTTTTTCGGTTTTAATTTAATTTAGCTGATAACAACAAGATAAATAATAAATCATTCTTACTAAAGAAAAAGCTATCTACTATTAATAATTTTTAACAAAATTGTCTGTTAATAAATTAAATAACCTTCTTTAAAAAGTAGAACATGGAAACTAAATAGGTTGCTGAAAGTGTCCTCCATCTTGAAATATTCATGCTCCAACTCTTTTCCTCATATTGCCGCGAACTCTTTGAAGTATACTTTCAGTTTTCTTATTAAATCGCAGCAGGCTCTTATACTATCGTTCAGCTTTTCTACACTGTTAACTGGGGTGCGATAAACCAAGCTTTTAAGATGCCTCATAGAAAAAAGTCCAAATCATTTAAACCTGGTGACCTAGCGGGCGATTGTTAGTTTTGGTTAATTTGGTAAGTCAGGTCCGCCGCGACCTATCCATCGGTTAATAAATGTGTGATTTAAACATTCTCTTACCGCACTACATTCTGTTCATAATTTAATATGCTGCTTCTTCCAGTAATATTAGCAAATCCTTTTCTAAAAACCGGCGACAATAGAATTATATTGAATATTTTTGTATTAAGTAATTTCCAACAATTCCAGCCCAAACATTGTTCAAACAAATTGTTCTTTATGTTGGGGGTTTTCATCGGCTCATATGTTGTAATTGTGGTAATTTCTGATTGCATTTTTGGAAAAGTTAGCTTCATCTGTAAATAGCATTTCTTGGCCAAACAAGAGATAAAAGGCAATTTTGTCCAAAAACCATTGACAAAAATTAAGACGCAGTAGAAAATTTCTGAGAAGTAACGCTAGGACCCGTTGAATATGATATGGGTGCAATATAAAATCGTGCAAAATTTCCGAAAGCAAGACATGCAAAATATTCAGATTATTTCTCATTAATCACACTCTCACAATCTCACATATCTCTCATTATATCTCACAATCCTATGGGCCCCTTTTAAATGACTGTTTGCCCTCGAAGTGTTCGCCTATCTGGTATGACTTTATTAGGAAAGCGTTCTTGAAATGCATATCTGCCAAAGCCCGACCATTCTTTTTTTAAAATAACATAGCCTGTTTTTACTTAAAAATAACAATTAATTTCTCTGCAACGTGTCATATTAACGATATGGTTATGACCGTATTGAGGGACATAAAGGAATAAACTATGAGAGAGATGCATAATGAAGTTGTTTAGTATTGTTGACGCAGCTTGGATTGTCAGGGAAGTTGCATGCGATGTATGAGAGTAATCAGATTCCTTCATCTGAATCATTGCAAAACAAATTAAAAGAAAATGGTCGATTTACTGGCAATCGTGAAACATTGTACATTGTACAAACATTGTATGATTTCGGTACAAAACGGGATTTAGATTTAATAGTATCGACAAGTGTAGTTGCATTAACGAGACCCCATGATTCGTGGAATCGAGACAAAAATATTTAACTCAAATTTGAATGTACCTGTAGGAAAAAGCGGGATAAAGAATATCAATTTTACACTCTGAATCGCGGGGAGGTTGAGTGCTAGACGATTTGCTACTTTCAGCAAAAAACATGAGACTGCTCATTGGACTATCATCAGGACATGACGAGTCAACTTTTGCAAAGTTGGGAAAAAATTATCTTCTTGAATGAACTGTC